CAAAAAAAAAAAAAAAAAAAAAAAAAAAAGAAGGGGCCTATGGCATGTGACTTTAAACTCTTATCTCCTTAGACTTCTAAATGAAGTCATTATGCTTCAAATTTTATAAAGTTAAAAAAAGATTCCTCATTTACAAAATAATATGTGTATATATATATGGTTATTTTTTAATAATATTTATTACAAAATTTATTGAGAATTAATTAAGAATATGCTTTTTACATACATACATACATACATACATACATACATATATATATATATGGAGTTGTAATAGAAGACAGAAAATGTGTTAGAGGATCACTATCAAAATGCCCTCTATTGTCATATTTTATATATATATATATATATATAAATTTTGTATAAAATAAAATATTGAAGAACCGACAGTCGTTGGCTTAAATAAATGCGTAAAAATATATTTTCTTAAAAAAATAATAAGAAAGGGCTATGCTTTCTTTTGAATTATTAAATACAACTTTCACATCACATGTTTTCTCCCACAAACACATAATTAATATTGCCTATGTACATTTTTTGTCAATTAAATTTTTAAAAAATCATGAATTTAAATCTTTTTTTTTTATTTATTTCAAAAAATCATTTTTCACGAGTGAACTTAATTCTATACATTTAAATATGATTCAATTATAATTTTCATATCTCATAGATTCAGATGCCATATTTATAACTTTTTTTTAATCAAATAATTAAAATTAAATCATTTTCTAAATTAAAGTTGCATAGAGAATATATCGGATTGTAAAATATATACATATTAAAATATTACTTTTTTTTTTTTTTTTCTTCTTCCAATCAGTTAATTATTAAATAATTGCCAGCTGTGCTTCTTTTGGGCGGGTCAGAATCTTCACTCTTATTGCCACATCAACCTAGTTAGTTGTTGAAATAAATAATTTCATAATCACGAGATTCACTTTTGCCTTTTTACCCATCACTTTTTAATTATCTTACGCTTTACCATTGTTTTCCATTTATTATTCGTATAACCTATGCTTCGTAAAGTTACAAGTGCATCGTTTTGGTAGAATAATTATGAGTTTATAATAAATAAATACTATCTCCGCAAATATGAGGCATTTTAGGAAGTACAAAACATAATTATGAGAGCTTATGTCGTGGACTATATCATACCATTGTAGAGAGTCGTGTTCATCTAATTTTATAATAATATGATAATATCAACATTTTCAGCATAAATTCTCACGACTTCACTTCTATCTTTTTAATTAAATATTGCATTAATTATCGAATAATGAAAAGAAAATAAATTTAATCTAAATGATTGCTAAAGCCTCTATTTATAAGGTGAAGAGTTTGGTAGGTATTGAATCACTATGAATATCAAAAGCTACGGAGAATTATAGGTTGTCATGGTCAAATAAGGAGCTTATTTCTCGAGACTAGTCACGAGTTAAAAATTTAGTAACTTAAAGAACAAGCTAAGCTCTTCGTGTGCCTTAACGTGAATACATCGAACAAATTTAGATGTTGCCAAATTAGCTTAATCGAAACAATTTTTGTTTATTTTGATATTTAGATCAAAATAAAATGTGGGTCGATCAAAAAATGAGAATAAAATGAAATTAAATTTAAATAAATTTTAATATACTATTTAATGAATTAATTATAAAATATATTCTCGATTTATACGTAAAAAAAAAAAAAAATAATCTAGGCTTATTAAAGAGGAGAAGAGAGAGAAAAGTGGGTCGGAGAGGAGAGAGAAAATAGGGTTTAAAAGCAAATTATTGAGAGTTAAGTTTGAAAAGTTTACAAAGTGGAAGCAGCCAAAATCAGAAGATAATTAATTAATTTTAAAATAAATAAAATAAAATAAATAAATAAAATAAAATAAATAAAATAAAAGGGTGTGTTCTGTATGTGTGTCGGTTACCCCTGAAACTGTCATGTTACAGCTCATCTTTGCTACTAACCGACACTTCCTAAACCCTAATTTTACCCCTTCTTTACATAACTCAACCATCTATTTATTTAACCTTATATTATTATTACATCATCAAATCATTTACTTCTTTTCTTAAATAATTAAATTTATTTTATTTGATGGACTCAAATTAATAAAAATATTTATTTTAATTTATAAAACATGTCCAAATGGAAAAATTATATTAAAAAATAAAAATAAAGAAACATTAAGTTGTTGGACGACGACGATAATAATAATAATAATAAAAAGGACCATTTAAAAGAAGACTAATCTTTTTCTTTAAATTTTTTAAAGATTTTTTTTAGGGCTAAACGTATAAATTTGGTCATTTGTGTGTGTTCTACTCCTCTAATGTGTTTTACAATTGTTCGTTTATAAACTCATTATCATTTTTTAAATTAGTTGAAGTAGGACTTTCAGATAAAATAAATAATATTATTATTTTTTTAAACGTGATGTACACTAAAGCTACGGTACCCACCGGTTCCTCGTCTTTCCTTTTCACCTTTCTCTAAAAAGATAAAACATAAAAACATTGCTTTTTTTTTTCTTTTCTAAATATAAATTAAAAAATAAAATGATAATTTAATTTTGTCGAATTAAAGACAAACCCTGACGGCCAACTTAATTAATTAAGAAAGATTTCAAATAATAAAATAATTAAGGTTATAAATAGACATATTAATAATTGCTTCTAAAACATTATTTAAATAAATACCCACAAATTAATTTAACCCAACCACTGATTCCCTCCAACAAATATCTTTGAAGGTTTCTGATTTCTTTCCTTAACGTCATATATATATTTTTTTCCCTTTTTGAGTGAATTTAATAATTAACTACAACATTTTACCGCGTGTAATTATAAATTTATTTTTCAACCCCAAAATAATAATAAAAAACTAAAGATTTCAACGGTAATTCTTTTATTAATATTTCATTTAATTAAGATACTTTTTCATTATATTAACGGCTAAATTTTCAAAAAGATTTTTTTTAATGTTAACGTTAATTTGTCATTTATTTCTTACGCCGATATTCTGTTTTACTCATCATCAAGTAGACTATTATTAAATAATAAAATAGAATTATCAATATTTTTATATTGGGAATAAAACATTAATTTAAACAATAAAAATTCAATTTTTTTTACCATTCGTAAAAGATAAATAATTTAATTTTTAATTTAAATGTGGGTAAAAATGGTAGGTGTGGATAGTCAACTGGGGCAATCCATTAAAAAAAAATGAATGAAATTGAGAAACAAATTCCCATAAATTCATAAGGTTGAATGATTAAAAAAATAATTAAGAAATAATAATTTGTTTTGATTGGTTTCTTAATTTGGGTTAGGGCAGGCAGTGGTTGGGACACACAGTAAAAAAGCACAGTAAAAAAATTAAGAGCAGCCAAGCCAACCAAACGGAGAGTTAAGTGAATTAAACCCCCAATTATCATCTTTTGTTTACTATATATACACCCATTTCTCCCTCTCATTAATCACTCTCTCTCTTCTCTCTCTCTCCTCCCCTGCCTCTGCTACTGTTATCGTCTCTTTTTTTCTTTTTTTTTTTCATTTATTAAAAAGAATTAAATACTTTTAGTAGCAGAGGCGGAGAGAAACTGAAGAAATCTGGGTTTGTTGCAAAACCCATTTTGGATCTCTGTCGGTTTCTCTGTAATCCGCCGCCATGGCCGACGCTACACAGATTCTGTTACCGGAGTCGTTTCAGGGCGGAAGAGGCAATTTCAGCGACCAAATTTGGCTGATTTGGGAGCTCATTAAAGCGCCATTGATAGTTCCTCTGCTCAGATTAATGGTTTATATTTCATTGGCAATGTCTCTGATGCTTTTCTTTGAACGAGTTTATATGGGAATTGTTATCGTTTTGGTTAAGCTTTTCTGGAAGAAGCCTGAGAAACGCTACAAATATGAACTGCTTCAAGATGATTTGGAATCTGGAAGCTCTAATTTCCCTCATGTTCTTATTCAAATCCCAATGTTTAACGAACGAGAGGTTCTGATTTCGCTGCCCTCCTCTGTTTTCTGTTTGGATCGAACATTTTACGAAATTTGTGACTGATTTTATTTGTTGTAGGTTTACAAAATCTCCATTGGAGCTGCTTGTGGCCTTTCATGGCCGGCCGACCGCCTCGTCATTCAAGTTCTTGACGATTCAACCGACCCAGTAATTAAGGTAACTCCGAACTTTTCCGATATGGGTTCTCTTTCAATCGGAACCCCCAAATCAGAAAAGCCTAATTTCAAACATTTCCGATGTGGGTTCAATGTGGATTTATAATCACATTTCTGCAGCAAATGGTGGAGCAAGAATGCCTGAGATGGGCGAGTAAAGGGATTAACATAACGTATCAAATCAGGGAAACCAGAGGAGGGTACAAAGCTGGAGCTCTGAAAGAAGGGCTTAAACGGAGGTATGTTAGCCATTGTGAGTATGTCGCCATTTTCGACGCCGATTTCCGGCCGGAGCCGGACTATCTCCGGCGAGCCATTCCGTTCTTAGTTCATAATCCTGATATCGCCCTCGTTCAAGCTCGATGGAGATTCGGTAAGCTTTGCTTCTCAACCATTTCTTTTTACACTCTAATTGGGAATTTAATTAGCGTTAATTAATTGCGTTTATGTGTTTGATTAAGTTAACGTAATTTCCTGGACTGTCGGTGGTCTAATAAGAGTGGTGTTTTTTTTAATATAAATAAATAAATAAATATTTTTGGGCCTTTTTTTTTTCTTTTTCTAAAAAAAGAATAATAATAATTGTTTTTTTAAAGTTCTTTTCCTTTTTTTTATTATTTTTTTATTTTTTATAAGTTTTGTTTTTGTCTATTCACTCTTATCGTCGGCGGGGGAAGATTGGAGGGCAAATAGGGCCCACAATTACATAAGAAGGAACCATTAATCACGGGGTGGGCCCCACTCCTCTGCCACTACGATCAGGACACATGTCCTACAGACGCTCATCACGAGCTCTGGGCCCCACCCCCTCCGCAAGATTACATATATAAGTAAATCAATTGAAAATTTCGCTTTTTTTTTTTTTTTTTTCTAATATAGGATTTAAATTATAAGAATATCTAATAAATTTTTAAGTTTGCAGAAGCTTCTAATTTTTAATTTAATAATTTTTTTTTTATTTATGACACATTTTTAAAAAAATTAAATTTTGATTGATGCTTCATCTTTTTTAATATTTATAATAAATTAATTTGTTATTTTATTAGTAGTGTATTAGTAGGTGAAACGTTAGACTAATTTTTTTTAATTGCCGCATTAATGGACTTAGATGAATGGACCATAATGTCCTCAAGGGACATTAATTAGCTTTGTCAAAAAATTAATTTTATTAATAAATGTTGGGCCTTTTTTTATTTATTTATTTTTCGCCTTCGCAATTATTGGCTGCTGGAAATTATGAAGAGCGTTATTTTTAGCCCTTTTCCGTATAGTCAACATTCTGTTCCCTAGGTGTAGCAGGAAATTGCAGTGATGTCCAGGGTAGAACTGTAATTTCACATGCTGAAAATTTTATTTATTTATTTAATTTTCCATCTCCCTTTCTGGAAAGTACGGGGTTCGCGATTGAAGATAATAGCGTAGGGATAGTATTGTCATTTGAAAAAAGTTGCTTTCTCCTCTCCACGTGGCTTTACTAGAAAATTCTTTTTTTCTTTTTATAAAAAATAAATAAAGAGTTTTTATTTATTTGGGTATTTAAAGTCATTTGTACAATCCAATCAGCACGTTATGGGTAGGCCTCATTGAAGTTTGTCTTCCTATGGATGACGTGGCACTTTCTTTTCAGTGATCACGTTAGGGGCAAAACAGGAATTTAGTAAATCAATTTCCTAAATTAACTAATCAAAACTTGCCAACTCATCCCTCACATGAAACTTCCTCAGTGTGTGGCACACCCCTCCACGTGGCCTGCTTCTAAAACAGCTCCTTTATTTTTTATATTTTTAATTATTATTATTATTAGATTTTAGCAAAAGGGTTAAAAACAAAATGAATTAATTAATTGTTTTCAATATTATCATAATTATTATCTAATTTTTTAAATTTTAATTATTTGAACAGTGAATGCAAATGAGTGCCTGCTGACAAGAATGCAAGAGATGTCATTGGATTACCATTTCACAGTGGAGCAAGAAGTTGGGTCTGCTACCCATGCCTTCTTTGGCTTCAATGGTATTAATACTCCCATAATTATTATTTATTATATTGGTTAGATCAACACGACTTTCCACAATAATATGATTTTGTCCGAGCATAAGTTTTCCTGACTTTGTATTGGGCTTCCCTACAAATCTCAGATCAATGGAGATAACATTTTTTTTTATTATAAACCCATGATCATTCTCTATTAGCCGACGTGGGACTTTCATCTAGCAATATTTACAATTAAGTATATTTTGTTAATGGGTTTAGATCGTTAATACGAAAATTAACCTCCATTAATTGTAGGAACTGCTGGAGTGTGGAGAATTGCTGCAATCAATGAGGCTGGTGGGTGGAAGGACAGGACCACCGTGGAAGACATGGACCTTGCCGTCCGAGCTAGTCTTAGAGGCTGGAAATTTGTCTACTTAGGTGACCTGCAGGTGAAGAAAAACACCCATGTCTTGTTTCTTGTCCATTTGCTGTCGGATTAGCTGACTAAACCATGAATTTGTTGCTGTGTTCAGGTAAAAAGTGAGCTTCCTAGTACTTTCAAGGCCTTCCGTTTCCAGCAGCATCGATGGTCTTGTGGCCCTGCCAATCTTTTCCGCAAAATGGTCATGGAAATTGTCAGAAACAAGGTCTCATACTTCATCAAATCATCGTTAAATCCGAAAGTTTTAAGGTTTTGAGACAGTAAAATGGTCGGTTACAGTAAGGATTGTTGTTTTGTTGTTGCAGAAAGTGAAATTCTGGAAGAAAGTTTATGTGATTTACAGTTTCTTCTTTGTCCGGAAGATCATTGCCCATATGGTTACTTTCTTCTTTTACTGTGTTGTTCTTCCCCTCACCATTTTGGTTCCTGAAGTGTATGTACCAATTTGGGGAGCTGTTTACATTCCTTCAGTCATCACCATTTTGAACTCGGTCGGAACCCCAAGGTTTGTTCTTTTTCTCTTTAATCGGGTCACTACCATATACATATCATGAATAGTGTTTTAAGATAAAGTTTATGTTTAAATGTTATTTCCGCATAGAAAGGATTACGCCTTTCGCTAGGATGATGGTAGTGACGGCAAGTAAGTAGAAATCTAGGGTTCATTACATTTTGAACTCTGAGTTGGGAACCCCAAGTTTTGTTCTTTATCTCCTTATTCTAGGGTTCATACGGTATACATATCATAAACAGTGTTTTAAAATAGTTTATGTTTAATCGTTATTTTCACATATAAAAAGGATTATGCTAGGATAATAGTGACTCTAGATGAGTAGAAATCTAGGGTCGTTACATTCATGTTGAATTCTTGCTATGCAAAATGCAGGTCGATTCACCTTCTGTTCTATTGGATCCTTTTTGAGAACGTGATGTCGTTGCACCGCACAAAAGCAGCTCTGATCGGTCTATTCGAAGCAGGTCGAGTGAACGAATGGGTTGTGACAGAAAAGCTAGGAGATGCTCTGAAGAACAAGGCAGCTGCTGATGCTGCAAAGAGCAAAGCAAACGCCAAAGTTCCCAAAATTAGACTAAGATGCAAGTTTGGTGACAGGTAAATGCAAAAAAACATCTTCGTATTACTCACAAAACATAGTAAACATAGTTTGAAGATGGAAAGTAACGATGTTTTGTTTGAAAATGGGAACAGAATCAACACATTGGAGCTGGGATTTGCAGCGTTCTTGTTCTTTTGTGGGTGCTATGACTTTGTTCATGGGAAGAACAACTACTTTGTGTACCTTTTTCTTCAGACATTCAGCTTTCTGATCACTGGAGTTGGCTATGTCGGAACCATCATCCCAAGCTCTTAAAAAGTGAAGAACACTTCCATTTATATATATATATATATATATATATATAATTATGGGGTTCTGAGTTGCATTTAAGATTCAGCAAATAATGTTCTACAGAAGAGAGTAGCGTGCCTAACTTAGAAGAAGAAAGAAAGGAGTTTCACAGGCAAATAGTTCAGATAAAAGCCTGAGATGTTATGGAAGGAAAGATGAAGAAGAAGAAGAAGAAGAAGAAGAAGAAGAAAAAGGGGAATTGAATTGCCAAGGGCATTTTCGTCATTTAGATTGTTTTTTTAAATTGTGAAAATTCTTTTTTTTTTTTTTTTTTTTTT